GTGTGTAATAAAGTAAGGGCGGTGAGGTAGAACGGTCTATTGACATAGCTCAAGTGCATGGGGGAATTATGTAAAACCCTGGTTTGTGTCTCGGAGAGGCTGCAGAATCCAAGTAAGTTCAGTAGAACTAATGGTTTCAATTCTTTTCCATGTCGTAGCTCAGTCGATTAAGGCAGCGTCTGAGATGCTCGGACGAAGGTTCGAATCCTCGTCACGGTGCATCACGCTATTGTGATTTCTGTGTGTAATGTGTATTAGTGTAATAACAGCAAAAGGAGCATGTTGGAAGGAGCCATCTTGGTGAGGGAGGTGGCATCATCTGCATGACTTGTCAAGCTGTGTAGGGTAGCCACTATGCTCTTTGGGAACCATACCAGCTTACTTGTACAGTTATGGTGAATAAAACATGTAGATATTTATATATAATGTGTGCGTGTATACCTTGAGGTGCTTCCGAGGCTTAGCATCCCTGCGGCCCGGTCAACGACCAGGCCTCCTGGTTGCCGAACTGATCAACCAGAGTATCGAGTAATAGTATAGAGAGTAATAACACCACAAACAGTATGGTTGGGGAGGAATGTTAGTGTGTCTGGCCTTGAATGAGTGAGGAAGGGAGAGAAGCGTCAGCTTCCTATGTGGCATCAGCCACTATACTCTTTGGGTCACCATTCCAGCTTAGTTGTACAGTTATGGTGAATAAAACATGTAGATACTTATATATAACATAAATAAGTATACTATTTACTTGTATATAGTGAATAAAAGCATAAACAGTATGATGGGAGGAGGAATGTTAGCGAGTGAGGTGTTGAGGGAGGAAAGGTGACGGCGTTGGCTGGCTGGTGTGTGGCAGCCACTGGTTGCTGTTTTTCACTCACAATACCAACTTAGTGGTTCATAATGGTGAACAAAACATGCAGATACTGTACTTATACATAACCTGTGTATATAGTACAGTATAATAACAAAACTATTTGTTTATTGTTTTATGAACATAATAATGAATCACTAATATGCACATCAAATTTTTGAGTAAAGCAAAAAAATACTGAGAAAAAAATCCATCAGAGACATTTAAATAATTAGGTAATATCATCTTTGTGGCAACTCCTGCCTGACAGCTGACCAGCCTACGACGTTTGCTCTGTCAACGCCTACATTTTGCCAGACTTTCTCACCCTATTGCGGCCAAAATATATCACCTATGATTTTTTTGTGTTATTTTTCCCATGGTCAGGGAATGCAAATGAACACTTTTATAAGAAGAAAATAAGTTGGAATTTTTTTTTCTTGTGCCTGGGAGTGTTGAAGGCCTTAACCACTGTGCTGCTCAGGATCCAAATATGGCATGCCCCCCCCCCCCTTGTGCAGGAAATAAATTCTTGGCAATTTTTTTTTGTTTTTGAAAATGTTAAATACCCTTCCCTGATCACAGATATGTAAAAAAAAATAAAAATTGTACTTTGGCCGCAATGGGGTCCAGAAAATGATGTGTGACATCACAATTTGGTGGTCGCCCGTGACTTAGACTCCCAGAGCCACTTGCACGCTAGTTTCAACATGTGCGAGTTGCCACAAATATTTTTTTGTTAATTTTTTTTTTGCACATTTCCAAATACATTTGTTTTGTTTTTTCTTGCCAATCCTATGTATAATGAACACGTACACAATATTATGGCAGTAGAACATCCGTACTGTCCCAAGACACTGTTATATGCGTCTCAAATGTGTCTACATATATTGCTCATATATCCAATGTTTCATGTTCATTTATGTATATTTACAACATATTTACACACTATACACTATCACACACATACTATACATTCACCATCATCACACCCAGAACTCTGCGAGTGTGAGCTGCCACACCCAGCCAGCCCTCCCTCACTACTCCAACACCCATGCTATAAGTATGACACCACCTCCCTCACCAAAATGGCTCCTCCCAACATACTCCTGTTGCTGTTATTACACTATATACACACATTGTATATACCCATGTATGTGTGTTTACCATAGTGAACCACTAAGCTAGTATGGTGAGGAAAACAAGAGTGGCTGCCACACACAGTGACGCTACCACCATTCCCTCCCTCCCTCGCCAAAATTCCTCCTCCCACAGTACTACGCACAGTGCTAATTATCACCACAATCTTGCTATTATCACAATCCTGGTCACTAAATTCTGTAAATGAATAATTGATCACAAGTTTATTTTGTAAAGGAACATAAGAAGTCGCTTGAAGATTCCTAGATGGCCGAAATAATGCTGTGGTGCTGTGGCTAGTGCTGTGAACATCGTGAATAGATGGAACCAAAGTTGAATTGACCACCGCCCCCAAATTCTGGTCCCCTAAGAACCAAGCGGAGCAGCTTCGGGGCTTCCAACCAGGCAACAGCCTGGCCCGCTGGTATAGCGAAAATCGAGCATGCAACGCAGACGCCGCTTGATCCAAGATCATCAGACAAGGAATGAGTAAATTGAAGCACAAGGAGGAACAAGTCCCACAAGCCTCTGGGTCGGAAGTGTAACCGACCAAACAGACAGCATGACGGAGGCAGTACGGATGATTGTTTCTCTGAGGCAGGGGTGACGAACAACCATCAACTTCGCACAAGACAAGAGAGGACTCGGAAGACGCATCCATGGTACCCCCGAGCCCACTGGGGTTTTCCAGGGTCCGTAGGGTGAGTAAGCCCTATGGAAAGCCCAGACACTGGGGCCAGCTAAGCTGGTAGACCCCTGTCTGTGAACAGTTAAACTGACCACCAGAAGTAGCCATTAAACCTTGGGGGGCAACAAAGGAGGACTACCAACACAACCTAGGTTAGCCTAATAAGCTAAGCAGACCTCCGTTAACAAAAACCAAAAGGCTAGAAAACAACAACAAAACCCCCAAAGACACACAACAAAGAAACTTGCAGCCAGAGACGATCGTCAGCCGCTGCGTGTGCAGCTGCGTCAGCTGCAATGTGCCTTACTCAGCCAATAACACTCCCCACCCAGAGTTCTTTTCTCCTTATCGGACATATGTAGCACTTTCACCAGACTGTGGTCCATTTTATTTCACCTATTTTTCTGGGTGTCTTTCCCCGGTCGATGGGAATTATGACACACTTTAAATGTAAAATGCTCATAGGCCATTGCTCCCTGCACCTCTCTGAGGGAGCCAGGTTCTGATCGTGGTCCCTGATAGACATAAGGACTCCTGCGACTGATGACCCGAAACTAATATAGCACATAGCAGTTCGGATAGCTTCAGGGAGCCGACGGGGTTCCCACAGAAAAATTAAGTAGATTTGTTACACACTCACTGAGCGCCTAAATGTTCTCAGTGAGCCAATCCCAACAAAGCTCCAGTAGGCTCAAGAACCACACAACGGCACCCGAGTGCAAGCAATTACGAAGGTCACCCACTTCTCACAAAACCGAAAAACTGAGGGACTTTAACAAAGAGGTACGCATTGACAGGCTGCAAAGAGCCCTCTGAAACGTCTGTAATACAATAGACACCTCCCATCACTCAAGCATGTGGGCACAACAGAAATCGTGCCACATCCCAATAGAAAACAAAGGACAATCTGTCAGCCAGGACAACTTTAGAACTTTGCAACACACTTAAAAGGGGGGAATAAGAACCAAACTCAAAATAGGCCAGGTCCATCACAGAGGCATAATCCAGGTAACACAGGTGTGCACAAAGGGCTTCCTGAGCCACCGCCAAGGAGACTAAGTAGGAAACATCTGGAAGGACAAAATCAAAGAAGAAGAATTGGTTTCAGAGAACCCAAAGATACTCTGAAACAAACTTTAGGGAACCGGCACCAAATCAAACTTGTACAGGGAGGGGGGAATAGGAAAACCCCTCCCCCTGCAACAAAACATCTGCAGAAGGCACCATAGCCCATGAAGGGTCAAATAAGGGCCCCAAGTCTAACTCACTCCAAGCTCCGGGAACCAAGCACACTAAACTCCTAGCTCACACTGCCGAACCATGCACAGGAAAAGCTACAAAAGCAAAACAACATTTAGGCAAAGATAGGAGACCGAAGGCAGAGCAAACTTAAAGGGTGACCAGGCACAGTACACATCAGTATAAGAACTGGTGGTGGAGCAGCCAGCTGACCCAGTCGGCCTCCCTCCTGACCCGAGGGGGACCAGGTTCTGACTCGTGGTGTCCGGTAGGCCAGATGGAACTCTGTTATTGATGGAATCTTGTAGTCTGGCACTACAGTATATCATTACACTAGCTTCAGAGAGCCCCAAGAGACTTCCCCCAGAAACGGTATGCTTTATACATGCTAAGAATACAATATGGTGTGCATATTACTGTAGTGAAATTTATTTGAGCATTCCAATATTCCACATTTTATTACATGTGACACTACTGAATAATAATACAGCAAAAAAAACAAAAAACAAAAAACAGAAAAACAAATCAGACACACTGAAATAAATATATAAAATTATCTTGACGACAACTGCCCCACGCCTGGCCCAGGAGATCATCACAGGGTGAACGCTCCATGAACACTCACGAGTCGTGACAGCATCTCAAGATTTTTTTGCTTTACATGAAAAAATTAATTTTTATATTTATTTTCCCCATGATCAAGAAATGCATTTAAATAATATTAGGAAGAAATGTTTTGTCTTGAACACCGTGGATGTTGTCAACTACGAACAGGGGTACAGTGCAGGAGTTAATAGGTCAAACTGTAATACAGTGCCTACAAGCAACAACAGCTTCAAGTTCAACAAGTCACAATGTAGGGCAGAAAACAGGAGATACTTTTTTTACCCATGGAACCACATTCCTGCCAAAGCTATAAATGCCAAATCCAGTTGGAAAAATTATCAGGAAAAATGGTGGGGTTCCTTTGACAAGCTGATGACTTCCTGCCCCCCTGTTAAAACCACTTAAGATATTGTGGCCCTCAGGTAAATTCAGATAAATAAATGAACACTGCATTAATGTATGTAGAGTGCACCATACCTCGTAGACACTGGTATTTTGGAGTCTGAAGAACACAGGCAAGTAGAGGTAACACACAATAGGTGTCGAGATGATGTAGGATATGTTGATAACAACAAACTGCGTTCCAAACATGTAGTTCTCCTTCGACACACCCAAGATGGTAATTGCAGACATAAATGATGCCATAAGAGAAAATGCCACTGGAATGACTGGCATAGCTTTGTCTGCCAGCATATACTCCTGAAATATAAAGACAATTAAATTTTGGATTCATGCAACATTTGAATTCAAGCAATATTTGGGTTCATGCAACATTTACAAAGAAATAGTGTTGTATATAATGCTATAATTTTAATAATTTATCATTTTCCAATAATCTTTCATCAAGGTATACTGTCAACATTATTTTAACTGTGATGTTTCCCACTACTGTATCACACCACCAATGGCAAAAATAAGGCTTTGATGTTCCCCACCATCAAAGTACCAATGACAAACATACGGCTTTTCTGGGTGGAACCCCGTTGGCTCCCTGAAGCTATTGTACACTGATCAGTGCCATACTACAAGGTGCCATCAGTTGCGGAGTTCTATTGGCCTACCACGGACCACGAGCCAGAACCTGTCCTCCTCAGAGAGGCACAGGGAGCAGGGCCTATGAACACTTGACATTTAAATTTAATACACACAGAGCAATCACACTAATGTGACTGCATCAATGAGAAAATCAGTAGCAGCTGTGATGAGAATTCGAACCTATGAAGTGGGTGTTCCCATGCACGCGCACACACATACAATAGCGACTTGACCACAACATTGTGTAAGGATTGCAATTTTGAGTTCTACTGTACCCACGAGGGTTTCCCGAGGCTTCTACTGAAGCCGGACCAGGATTTTCACACAATCTCCCCATGCACTCTGGCTCTGTCATCTAAGAATGTTCCATCTCTGATGCTCTTTTTTTCAATACTGAGCATTTAAATACTGTACTACCTCCTGCACCAACTGGGCTATGCCTCGCTTAGGGATCTGACTTTCTTAGAGTTCAGTTCTTCCTCCCCCTTATTGAGTGCATTTTGAGATTCTGGAGTCGTCCTGGCTTGCAGACTGTTCTTTGATCTCCCTTGGAGCTTGGCGCAGATTTTGCCATTCCTTCATGCTTGACTGGCAGAGGGGGTTTTCTGTGTTGCAGATCTTTTTGTGGGTTCTTTTGAGTCCCTCAATGAGTGCCTCTTCGCTCCTGCCCTTCCCCATATTGTCGGTCTTCTGTTGCTACATGCTCAAGTCTCCCTTACATCAACTGCCCTCCTTAAGCTGTATTCTCTGAAACTCTGACAGGCAGCTTTCATATTTTCGCCACCCATCTCGCATGTCGGCAAGCCATTCTGGCCCAGTTTTTAGACTTGGCATGAGCCCCTGGCTCTTTTTTTTTTTTTTTTTTTCCTCATTTGGTTTATTGTTCTTTGGTTAGTCGTCTTTTCAGGTAGTTGGTAGGGCCACGGCGTCGCCTGAAGTTAGTGGAGGTGGGTCTTCTGTGGTACCAGCAACCAGGTCAGATGTGCTTCCCCAAGCCTCATCATCTTTGTCTGGTTGGTCTTTGTCTGGAGGCACAAACAAGCAACAATGCTCGCAGGACTCCAGGTCGGTGTCATCACCGACCCAACAGGCAGCAGGACGGAGGCAAAAACAATGAGCATTGCCCTCAGACAAGGGGACAGAGCAACCCTCAAATTCACATAAGGTGAGAGGGGACCCAGGGGGTCGCATCCATTGGACCCTTGCACCCCGCGGGGTTTCCCAGGGCCCTTAGACTGTTTTCGCTAAGGGTAAGCTCAGGCAGGGTACTGCTAACCAACACCAAGTCTACCAAACTTCTGAAACTGAACCCCCGGGACATGTCAACTCACGGGGGCCTAGCAGGGGGTACCACTGAAAAACAGGAGGTCAAGATCCTAACAGGGGGCAGGGGAACAAAAGCAGACCCCCCCCACCAGGCACAAACAAAAATGAAAAGAAAAACCCCGCAAGAGGACAATGTACCCAGAAGGAACAGAATAGGTGAAATAGGTGAAAACTAGCTGTACAGTACCCTGTGCCCCTGCCAGTGCAAAAACTACCACTTACCCCAAGGTAAATAAGGGAGGAGGAAACCCTCCAACACACTTGGGACAGTCAATCACCGAGCAGCAAAAGACCAACAGAGGTAAACCCAAAGGTGACTTGTGGAAGGTAACCCCAAGCCCCAAGGGCGATACTTACAGGGCACTCAGGGAAGGTGACCCTAAGCACACGCAGCCCGAGTACCTGTGAATCAGATGCTCGCACGCCACAATAATAGCAGTACTGGACACAAGGCACAGCACAACAAGAGAGAATCTGGAGCTAGAGCCACACGACCAAGCCACAATCACATCAGCCAAGAACTGCCAGTTCTCAATTCTGTCAGTTCTGGGGCTCCCCCCTTCCTCTCTCCTGGGGAGGGGGGAACTGTGCAGACATGCGGCGCAGGAACATGTGATGTCATGTTCGTTTGCTCCTTTTCAATTGGAGAGTTCTGTCCATGCATTAGTCTATTTTCTCCGTTTTAACCAAAATATGGGTTTGTTTTGAGGCGCTTAACTTTCTGGGTGCCTGGCTTGGTCAATGGCAGATATAAAATGCTCCAAATCCCATGTTCATTTCTGTAGGCCATTGCTCCTCGTGCCTCTCTGAGGGGGCCAGGTTCTAGCTCATGGTCCCCCGTAGACCTAGAACTCCATTCACACTGACTGATGCCAAAGTCTAATGATATACATATCAGCCTGGATAGCTCCAGGGAGCCGAAGAAGCTCCCGCCAGAAAAATGATCGTATATATTGAACTTTGATATGCATGACAAAGAACAGCTCCTCAATGCTTCTTATCTAAAGATTATCCTGCCTAAAGATTATCAAGATAAAATTCATTGTAGACAATGAGGAACTTTATGATAGACTTTTTTTTATCAGATATTTTGACTTACCTTGAAAGTCTTTTGCTTTCCTCCAGTGAACCTGAAGTAAATTCCAATGCCTGAAGACACTGCCAAGACTGTGGCAAAGATCACATAGTCAACAATACCAAAATGCAACATTGTCTCCATCTTTGTAGCTCGTTCTTCTCAGCTGTTATCATATACTTTTATATTGATATGAACTACTCTTCCTGGAAAATTCACTGAAATCTATTCTTCTTTGTTGTACTTCTTACTACCTAGAAGAAATAAAGGAAGTGTAAATATAATCCTGGAAGTATTAAGTAATAGTTATATTATATATATATACACACACACACACACACAAACACCTAAAGGTGAATGAAATAATGACTGCCAATCCACAAGAAGTTGACATAATAGCACTAGAGATCTGCCATGAGGAGGATAAACTAATGATAATAAATGCATATAGTCCACCGCCAAGCAGCACATGGTCAAAGGAGGAGCTAGATAGTAAACGTGAAGGTCTTATAACAACAATGAGAGAGATTATAGCGAGAGCGGATAACGATAGATCACGACTGTTGATAGTCGGTGACTTCAACTTGAAATTCATAGACTGGGAAGCATATGAAGCTAAAACAGAAGATTTTTGGACCTGTAAATTTGTAGACCTCATCCTGGAAACATTCTTGTATCAACATGTTAAACAAGCTACGAGGATGAGGGAAGGGGACGTTCCCTCCATGCTACATTTGATATTTACCAGGAAGGAGGAAGAGATATTTGACATTCAGTACCTTCCTCCCTTGGGTAAAAGTGACCATGTCTTTTGGGGAATAAAGTATGCAATGCGTTATAAGCTGGAAGAAAATAAGGAGGTTGAAGCAGTTGAAAAACCAGACTTCAGGAGAGAACATTATGGTGACCTTAGAAATTTTTTTAGTGAGTATAATTGGACAGACTTGATGCTAGGCAAGGAAGTGAATGATATGTATGTCAAGTTTTGTGAAATATATGATAAAGGCACAAAAAAATTTATACCAAAACAGAGATGCAGGGCCAGAAAACAGGATTGGTTCGACAGAAATTGTGAGAGGGCAAGAGACCAAAAGACACAAAAATGGAATCAGTATAGGAAGTGGCCAAACCCCCAAACATACCAGCGATACAAAGATGCGAGAAACAACTATACAGCAGTAAGGAGAGAGGCAGAAAGAAATTTTGAAAAAGGGATAGCGGATAAATGTAAAACAGAACCGGGCCTATTCTACAAATTCATAAACAACAAATTGCAGGTAAAGGACAATATCCAGAGGTTGAAAATGGGAAACAGATTCACAGAAAATGAAGAGGAAATGTGTGAAACATTAAATGAAAAGTTCCAAAGTGTGTTTGTACAAAATGAAATCTTCAGAGAACCAGACACAATAAGAATTCCAGAGAACAACATTGAGCGGATAGAGGTGTCTAGAGATGAAGTGGAAAATATGCTAAAGGAGCTCGGTAAGAACAAAGCAGCTGGCCCAGATGGAGTTTCACCATGGGTTCTGAGAGAATGTGCATCAGAGCTCAGCATTCCACTTCACCTGATCTTTCAGGCATCCCTGTGTACAGGAATCGTAGCAGATGTGTGGAAACAGGCTAACATAGTTCCAATCTACAAAAGTGGCAGCAGGGAAGACCCCCCTCAATTATAGACCTGTATCGTTGACAAGTGTAATAGTGAAAGTATTGGAAAAGCTAATCAAAACTAAATGGGTAGAACACCTGGAGAGAAATGATATAATATCAGACAGACAGTATGGTTTTTGATCTGGAAGATCCTGTGTATCGAATTTACTCAGTTTCTATGATCGAGCCACAGAGATATTACAGGAAAGAGATGGTTGGGTTGATTGCATCTATCTGGACCTAAAAAAGGCTTTCAACAGAGTTCCACATAAGAGGTTGTTCTGGAAACTGGAAAATATTGGAGGGGTGACAGGTAAGCTTCTATCATGGATGAAAAATTTTCTGACCGATAGAAAAATGAGGGCAGTAATCAGAGGCAATGTATCGGAATGGAGAAATGTCACAAGTGGAGTACCACAGGGTTCAGTTCTTGCACCAGTGATGTTTATTGTGTACATAAATGATCTACCAGTTGGTATACAGAATTATATGAACATGTTTGCTGATGATACTAAGATAATAGGAAGGATAAGAAATTTAGATGATTGTCATGCACTTCAAGAAGACCTGGACAAAATAAGTATATGGAGCACCACTTGGCAAATGGAATTTAATGTTAATAAATGTCATGTTATGGAATGTGGAATAGGAGAACAGAGACCCCACACAACCTATATATTATGTGAGAAATCTTTAAAGAATTCTGATAAAGAAAGAGATCTAGGGGTGGTTCTAGATAGAAAACTATCACCTGAGGACCACATAAAGAATATTGTGCAAGGAGCCTATGCTATGCTTTCTAACTTCCGAATTGCATTTAATTACATGGATGGCGATATACTAAAGAAATTGTTCACGACTTTTGTTAGGCCAAAGCTAGAATATGCAGCGGTTGTGTGGTGCCCATATCTTAAGAAGCACATCAACAAACTGGAAAAGGTGCAAAGACATGCTACTAAGTGGCTCCCAGAACTGAAGGGTAAGAGCTACGAGGAGAGGTTAGAAGCATTAAACATGCCAAAACTAGAAGACAGAAGAAAAAGAGGTGATATGATCACTACATATAAAATAGTAACAGGAATTAATAAAATCGACAGGGAAGATTTCCTGAGACCTGGCACTTCAAGAACAAGAGGTCATAGATATAAACTAGCTAAACACAGATGCCGAAGAAATATAAGAAAATTCACCTTCGCAAATAGAGTGGTAGACGGTTGGAACAAGTCAAGTGAGCAGGTGGTGGAGGCCAAGACCGTCAGTAGTTTCAAAGCGTTATATGACAAAGAGTGCTGGGAAGACGGGACACCACGAGCTTAGCTCTCATCCTGTAACTACACTTAGGTAATTACACACACACACACACCAGGTCTATTCTATAAATTCATAAACAACAAATTGCAGGTAAAGGATAATATCCAGAGGTTGAAAATGGGAAATAGATTCACGGAAAATGAAAAGGAAATGTGTGAAACATTAAACGAAAAGTTCCAAAGTGTGTTTGTACAAAATGAAATCTTCAGGGAACCAGATACAATAAGAATTCCAGAGAACAACATAGAGCACATAGAGGTGTCTAGAGACGAAGTGGAAAAAATGCTCAAGGAGCTAAATATCAACAAAGCAGTTGGTCCAGATGGAGTTTCACCATGGGTTCTGAGAGAATGTGCACCTGAGCTCAGCGTTCCTCTTCAACTGATTTTTCAGGCATCCCTGTTTACAGAAGTTGTAGCTGATGTGTGGAAAAAGGCTAACATAGTTCCAATCTACAAAAGTGGAAACAGGGAAGACCCCCTTAATTATAGACCGGTATCATTGATAAGTGTAATAGTCAAAATATTGGAAAAAATAATTAAATCTAAATGGGTAGAACACCTGGAGAGAAATGATATAATATCAGACAGACAGTATGGTTTTCGATCAGGAAGATCCTGTGTATCGAATTTACTCAGTTTCTATGATCGAGCCACAGAGATTTTACAGGAAAGAGATGGTTGGGTTGACTGCATCTATCTGGACCTAAAAAAGGCTTTCGACAGAGTTCCACATAAGAGGTTGTTCTGGAAACTGGAAAATATTGGAGGAGTGACAGGTAAGCTTCTAACATGGATGAAAAATTTTCAGACTGATAGAAAAATGAGGGCTGTGATCAGAGGCATTGTATCGGACTGAGGAAATGTCACTAGTGGAGTACCACAGGGTTCAGTTCTTGCACCAGTGATGTTTATTGTCTACATAAATGATTTACCAGATGGCATACAGAATTTTTTGAACATGTTTGCTGATGATGCTAAGATAATAGGAAGGATAAGAAACTTAGATGATTGTCATGCCCTTCAAGATGACCTGAACAAAATAAGTACATGGAGCGCCACTTGGCAAATGGAATTTAATGTTAATAAATGCCATGTTATGGAATGTGGAATAGGAGAACATAGACCCCACACAACCTATATATTATATGAGAAATCTTTAAAGAATTCTGATAAAGAAAGACATCTAGGGGTGGTTCTAGATAGAAAACTATCACCTGAGGACCACATAAAGAATATTGTGCGAGGAGCCTATGCGATGCTTTCTAACTTCAGAATTGCTTTTAAATACATGGATGGCGATATACTAAAGAAATTGTTCATGACTTTTGTTAGGCCAAAGCTAGAATATGCAGTTGTTGTGTGGTGCCCATATCTTAAGAAGCACATCAACAAACTGGAAAAGGTGCAAAGACATGCTACGAAGTGGCTCCCAGAACTGAAAGGCAAGAGCTACGAGGAGAGGTTGGAAGCATTGAACATGCCAAAACTAGAAGACAGAAGAAAAAGAGGTGATATGATCACTACATACAAAATAGTTACAGGAATTGATAAAATCGACAGGGAAGATTTCCTGAGACCTGGCACTTCAAGAACAAGAGGTCATAGATTTAAACTAGCTAAACACAGATGCCGAAGAAATATAAGAAAATTCACCTTCGCAAATAGAGTGGTAGACGGTTGGAACAAGTTAAGTGTGAAGGTGGTGGAGGCCAAGACCGTCAGTAGTTTCAAAGCGTTATATGACAAAGAGTGCTGGGAAGACGGGACACCACGAGCGTAGCTCTCATCCTGTAACTACACTTAGGTAATTACACTTAGGTAATTACACACACACGAGACAATATACACTACTACCCCTGTCATTACCACCGTCACTTGACAAGTGTTACCACAACCCTCACACTATACACCACTACACCTGTCACTTGACAAGTGTTGCCACAACCCTCACACTATACACCACTACACCTGTCACTTGACAAGTGTTGCCACAACCCTCACACTATACACCACTACACCTGTCACTTGACAAGTGTTGCCACAACCCTCACACTATACACCACTACACCTGTCACTTGACAAGTGTTGCCACAACCCTCACACTATACACCACTACACCTGTCACTTGACAAGTGTGCACCTGTCACTTGACAAGTGTTGCCACAACCCTCACAATAATTCAAGTCTAATCACAAACATATATCCAATTAAGTTCAAATTCTATATATAATCAAATTAATGCACAATTTTAAGAAACTTGGAAGTACAGTGTTTACTAATGCTCAACA